ATCATTAGATGAAATTAACTACCAAAGTTTAAAATACACATAATCCATGACCTGGCAATTTCCCTTCTAGGTATTTACACTAGAAAATTCTCATACCTGTACACAGGCAATCCAAAAGAGATGTTCAGTACAGCACTGTTTGTGATAGCAGAAAAAGCAGAAACAACCCAATTCTTTCTAAGAAGAGGAACAAATTAATCAACTGTGATGTAGTCACAGAATAGAATGGAATGTTATACTGTGGTTAAGATGAATAAATCTGTTGAACTTTTATCAGCATGCATTAGTCTCAAATACAAAATTTTAAATGAAAAAAGCGAACTGAAGAATAACGTGCATGGTATAATATCTCTTCTGTACATTTAAAATGTAATAAAAGTGTAGTTTATGGTGGACATATGTTGGAAAAGTAAAAAAATGAACATGGAAATATCTCACCCCAATGCCAGGATATCAGAGAAGTGGGCCTCTCACTATATCTCAAAAGTTTTGTTTCTTTTACAAAAGAGAGATCATTAGCAAATATGCAAACTGTTAATATCTAAATATATAGATATTTTATCCTATTATTTTTCATATATTTGAAAAATCTCATGATTAAAATAAAATTAATTATTAAGAATATATAACATGAAAAAAGAAGACAGTTATTTCCAATCAAAAGTCTTGCCCAACCCGTGGCTGATTCATGTCAATGTATGGCAAAGACCATCACAATATTGTAAAGTAATTATCCTCTAATTAAAATTAATTAATTAAAAAAAAAATTCTTGCCCAGATCTAAAAAGCTCTCATCACAAGAAAAAAGTTTTTTTTTTATCATTGTGTGTAGTGATGAATAATAGCTAAACTTACTGTGGTAATCATTTCACAATATACACACATATCAAAGCATTGTGTTGTACACCTAAAAGTGATACAATGTTAATATATCAGTTATATTCCAATTAAAAAATAAAAATTTCATTTACACAGGTGCTTCCTGGATCAGGCCTAGAGTTACTCCACTGACAGTCACTAACCAAAGCTGATCCACCAGGACAAGCATCCTAAACAAAGCCCCTGGTGTTTTCTCCAGGTTTGTAAGTCAGGACCCAGAATGATACTAGGAAAAGCTTCTAAAGTAGTGATTTCTAGACCAGGATTTCAAGTATCAGTAATTAAATAAGTTTTATACACACACACACACACACACACACTTAACATCATTTCACAAAAGAAAAAGCATTCTAACACACAAAAATTAGAAAAATCTCAGAATAAACAATTTTTTCAAATGAAATCAATTTATACAAGAAGCCATATTTTTCTCATCTTTCTCATTTTGCCTCAGAATAATGAAAACTTCCCAATAAACTAAGAGACCATAAACCAATGTTTGGGGTTCACTTATCTTGAGAACATACTAAGCATTCAGTTATCAGCCAGAGCTCAGATCACCAACCAAACTAGCATTGTGATAAGACACTTGTAGTGACTCCTGGAGGAGTTCAGGCATTACATGATAAATTTTTGCTTTTCTTCATCAATTCTTTCAGTTTCATGTTCCAGTGAAAATCACTGACTGTCCAGGACTAGATGTGCAATATGCTGTGAATCTCATCCTATTCATCCATTGTCAATTACAAAAAAAAAAAAACCTGTTTCTTTTGCTGATTCAAGATGTAATATAATTCCATCTGTTTTTGCTCCATCTTCCCTTGCTTATTTTTGTTTAAATCAGTAAAAAACATGCAGGGAGCATACTTAAATATTAGAAAAACATTTCTATTGGGACTAGTATCCTTAACAACAAATACTTTTTAATCTTCCTAAGTTTGGTGCATTAATATTATTGTCTTCAATTCCGCTCAGCACAGACATGCAGACAGTTTCCTGAGGTCAGTGACATGACCCCACCAACTCTGAAGAAGAGTTAGAAAGGAAGAGTTAATGTACAGTGTTGAAAATAGATATGAAGCATCTTAGATTTTGCAGCCATGTGGCAGGTAAGAAGGAATTAGCTCTTCATGAAAAGTAAAATACAGCTTAGTCAATTCAGTGACAACATCAGCCAAATCAACTATGACTATACAGCCTGTTGACTAAATAGGTCACTTTGCCATTCACTCCTGCGCCCAATTCCAAATCCTATTAGTTTAGCCAGTCTCAGGGCTTGTCATCCATACAAGTTCAGTCCGGAATTTCTACCCAGGAATAAGTTATAAAAATCTCTGCTTTAACATATTTTCAATTTAAGTAAGAAACATAAAATTACTTATGATAAGCACAGTCACAAAATGACATAAAAGATCAAGTTAAATATAGTTATTTAAGACATATACATTTATTTCTCTTATTATATAATATTACCTACCTACAATAATATTGCTGGAGAAATAAAGTAAATAGAGCTGGTACACTGGGATGACCCAGAGAGATGGGAGGGGGGTAAAAAATAAATAAATAAATAAATGTAAGGAAAAAAAAAAGTAAATAGAGTAACCACAGAAATTAATCCATATTTAGAAACATAAGCATACATATCTCTCTTTTATTATTTAAATAGAATAGAGAGCTATAGTCAGAACATGTAATCCTGCTGTTCAAGGATTAAAACTTTTATGAATACCCGTTTAAGGCACTAGATTCTATCATTGTTCCTTTGCCCTCAACCATACCATGCAATTCATTCATTCATTTAAAAAGACAGTATTTGAGCACTTCCTGGTTACCAAGCACTGGGGCTCAAAAATAGAGCTCACAGTTAAAAGTTATGATTTATTTGATCAAGTACCATGCCTCAGAAGACTTGATTCTAAATATCTGTGCAACACTATGTCATTTTATTTTCCTCATCTTTGAAATAAATAATTGAAGTTTCAATCTCTCACAAAACCTGGATGGCGCTTCCCTCTTTTCAGGCAGCACTAGGAGCTCCCACCAGCAGCAAAACCACAAAACTGCCGCCTCCACTTTGCAGCTCCCTCAGATTCTGATGATGAACACTGACTGCACTCTGCTTTGAACAGCGTAACCTACTCTTAAAAAAATATGTCCTGGGTAAGCTCTTCAGATGGAAAATGATTTAATCTGTAGTAACACTTGACTGTGCATATAATGCTTGGTGAAGCAGGAGCAGCCCTGACATTTTATGAATAGGGAAATGAGAGAGCGTGTTAAAGAAGGCTTGACAGCAAGAATGAAAGAATGAAGATTCAACGTAAGCTGTTGAAAGCCTAACAAGATAAAGACAGGCAGGAAAGAGTCTCCTTAAATGTGATGAAATAAGGCCTGAAGGGATGGAACGGTAGAGAGATTGACGAGTATACACTTTGAAACAGAAGATAAATGTGTTCAACCTGACAGTAACATGTGGTTAAATTAATCAAAGTACCCATAGCCTTAAACAGTAGGAAAGAATAGAGATTTATGCCTCAACCATCTGTGATGGTAGGTGTGAAATTTCAAATAGATCAAAGGAGGGAAGCTTTTGAGAGAAAATAATTGTTAGAATTATACAGCATTCTCATAACATGCACACAGGACCACTGACCATGACATGATCTTCTCTGCTTTCCATGCCTATTTCCTCCAGTTTAAAATGTAAAACAGGAAATTAAGAAGAGTTCTTATCACCCAAAGGGAATATTTAATTTTAAGCAATTTTGTTCTTATGATTTTTAATGATGAATTTTCGAGGGGGAATATTTTCAGAGACTAAGCCTATTGGTCAAATTAACAAGTTGACAGTTTACACTACCCAGTTCTGCCCCTTGAGCTTCCAAAAGCATGATGCAGTCTCAAATACCAAATCCACACTTTGCCTGTCTTGATCCAAGCTACTCTGCCCTGCAGAACTACTTCTTGTAAAGTCAGAGGCCACACATTTTAACTGCTGAGAACACTATTAAAGCGGGGGACAGATTGAAATATTTTCTAATTTTTCTCAAGGATAATCACTAATCCTTAACTAAAATGACCAGCTAATCAGACCACCACACCAAATACACTCATCGCCGAAGTTTTATTATACACCACTATGATCTTCCTCTTTTCACCTACCTGCATTGACTAAGCGAGAGCATTAATCTTTAAAGCAGCTCTTCTTTAAGGGAAGATAGAGGCTAGTGATGGACCCTTTAGAGCATCTGTCTTTTGTAAAGGCTCCAGTGTGTTGATTCTGATTCAGCACCCAACTGAGAATCACTGCCTTACTTCGAAGAAAGTTTTCAACATATATTAAACTGTTCTACTTATGGTGCCCTTCACCTTCAACTTTCTCATTAAAAGTCAATAATGATGAAATATCAGTAATGATGATAGAAGGAATGAAAGAGAATCAATAAATGGCAATAATAAGTATGCATCCTCTCTGAAACTCACATCTAGGTTAAATTCTTTGTTTAGTATGGTCACTTTTCTCCTTCTATGAGATAGATTTGGAAGACTTGGTCACTAGGCTTCTCTTAAAAGTCCTTCATACAGTTAAGGACAGTTATTAAGTCACCTCTAAACCTCAATACCAGTAATCCTGATTCCATTCATCTTTTTTCATCAGTGCTGTTTTCCAATCCGTTAATCATTTTCATTGCTCTCCCCTGGACCCTATCCAAGTTCTCCACGTATCTTTAAGCTTCTGTGAATTATGTGACCAGTTTATAGCTTTGATAAGCCTGGGTGGTAGAAAACGTAGAATCTCATCACAACAGACTATAAATGTATATGGGGAGAGGCAGGAATGGAGGGGCAGATAGTTCAATCATATGGGAAATTTCAACACAAACATGATACTTTCCTAAGTCTTAACTTCTTTGTAATTAGTTCTAAACATACTATATCAAAATATTCTAAGTCACAATTAGAGTCTGTATTTTAAATAGATGTCTTTTTCATGCCAGGAGATGTCTTGTTCCTTTAAGGAACAGAAAGAAGGAGCTACATTTTTTTTGAAAGGTTGTTTGTTTCTTGAATGGAAATAGCATTTTAAGTGCAGAGAAGTGCTACTAGGAACCAAATACCTATGAAAGATGGAGAAGCCTGGGTATGTCCACTCTATCATCAACATTCATTTTTTTCCATGGGCTTTTCCAAAAGAAGCTAAGTGGCCCAATCCTGAGTATATTGGTAGTCTGAATACTGCTTTCACAGTCAGAACGCTAAACAATCACTCGCAGAATCTCTTCCTGTTTCAAAGCCATTAGGCAGCTTGTACTTATGGGAAGCAGCATGGCACAGTGACAGTGACTGGCGACCAGCCACTTATAAGATGGGGACTTTCGGCAAGGTGAGACTCCTCTATAAGCCTGTGAGGCAATAAGGGAACTATGTCATAGAAGTGATGTGAACTTTGGTGAGTAAGCATGTGATATGCTTACTATGTACCAGCCGAGAGGAGCTCCTGGTACATAGTAAGCATAAAAACAGTAACAGAAAAGGAATTGACTACAGGTACAGGTCATGAGTATCAACACCAAATCTATTCCCTTGGAACAATAATGCAGTTATGACATGGGTGCTTCTTCAAACAAGAGAGGCTTCCCAGCTGGCTGCTAGTGGTAAAGAACCCACCTGCCAACGTAGGAGACATAAGAGATGTGAGTTTGATTCCAGGGTTGGGAAGATCGCCTGAAGGAGGGCACAGCAACCCACTCCAGTATTCCTGCTTGGAGAATTCCATGGACAGAGGAGCCTGGGGGGCTGTCCAGTGGGTTTCAAAGAGCTGGACACGACCGAAGTGACTTAGCATGCACTCACGCTTCAAATAAGATAATACACAGTTGTTATGGGGAAAGCAGAGAACAAAGAAAATGCTGTCATGGCCAATGACCTAATATCTCACTGCTGAAAACACAGTAGGGATCTATGGAGTCTAACAGGACTCCACTGGAATTCAGCAGATAAGCAGTTGCCTCCGCGAGCCTTAAATGTTCCCTTGAAGAGAGAGACCACACCCATCTTTGGAAATATATTCCCATGTTAGAACCAGACGTGCACATGGAAATTATTATTATCCCTTGGCTGAGGGCTTCAGTTATAAAACATTTGTAATGTTTGTAACCTAAAAGAGGGATTTTCTCAAATTTGTTGAAACTGCCTCGTTTTTTGTAGGGTCACCATCACCATACCTCATTTAAGATCAAGTGAATTGTCAGATTAACGTGTTTTTGCAGGAAGCCAATTCTGTTACTTCCTTTAAAAAGCGTGTATCTCTTCTGAGGGTTATCGGCAGGCTACCACTCCAGCTTCTCATGCCAGGTGCCCTTCCTGACTGGTCATTTCCCCTCAAGCTGGTGATAACCCTGCAGTGACTCCAAATTCTTTCTTTGAGTATCTGATTCCATCTCCATCAGATGAAACCTCCCCCAGAACATGACTGGACCTAAGTATTTCCATGTCTTGGTTCATTCCTAAAATCCCAATCTGACTTTTGGTTGAATTGCAGTGGAAAATCCAAATCATGTGATAATCAGAAGGAAAATGATGGCTTTTTCCTGATTCCATTTTCTAAACATGCAGTAATGAGCAATAAATATTTACAGGTAACAGTGATGATAACTGAACTTTTTGGGGGGTAGACCCACATAAAATAGATTCTGCTCCATAAAACATGGCCAATCTTGCATAAATTTTAATGAAGATTTTGGCCCTCCACCCATTAAAACTCTTACTTCAATAAAAATAAATAATAAACATTCATCAGTTGATGGACATTTGGAAAAAAACAAAAACTATTACATGATTTCTCTCCCTTTCACTGTCACCAATCATCCTTAAAAAAAAGTCTATAAATTCACATCATGTTAAAACGGGTCAAATCTTTATTCCTTTAATCCCGTGAAGTTTGATCTTGCAATTTCTTTCACAGCAGCATTGTTTTCCCCACCTCCGCATTCACACCTGACTTTTCTGTCTCCCTGTTTCCCATAAATAATCAGCAACCGAGTGCTGCTGATTCTTCTCTTGCTGTGCTATTCTTTCTATTCCTATTGCCACAGGCTAGTCAGTTCCTTTTTATTTACAAACAATGTTTCTCTTGCAATAGCCCACTAACCAGTTCTCTAAGTTTTCCATTTTTCTCTCTTACAATTCATCTTGTATACCTTTACCAAATTAAACATCCTACAGCATAATCCTGATTGTATTTCTTCACATTTTAGACATTCTGATGGCTCCCCATTGTGCCTAAATAAAATTCAACTTCAACTCATAAGAGGCCAATGTATTTGTTAAGTGAATAGAAAAATTCCACATGCTGGTTTTAGCAACTACTTGCTATTTACTGAATAAAGTCCAAAAGAGAGGTTTGGTTTTGTTTCATGTTGTGCCTTATTCTGTTCGTGACCTCTTCAAATGTTTGAATCACAACTGGTAAATCAGCAGAATAAAAGGAGCTACTATGATACATCTTCTGTTCTCTAGATAAAAAAGAAAAACAAAAACTTTCAGATTTCAGCTGATTATGCTTTGTTTTGTACTCCTTAAGATATTATGAATGTTCTCTCTACTGAATTTTCTTTACGAATGTTTAATCGAAGGAGGTTTGAAGTTCATGGTGACAAAAAACACAATTGGTCCCAATGATCTTGATTTCTTCTATTTAAGTTCAATGCAATTTTAAAATATCCTGAATTACAAAAAAAGACTCAGTAAAACATGTTTTACCTTCATGGAAAACATATATCCAAAATAAAATTTATCTTTAAATCCTTTGAAAGATAACAGACCAAGATGGCAGTGTAAGCACATGCCAAAACTCCTGTTCAAATACGAGAAATACTTGATACTATTTTTGAGATATTTGAAAGCACAACCCTGTTCAATAGCAAGAAAGAAAGTTTTCTACGGCTCATTAAAAAGGAAAATCTACAACAGTAGAGGATCTTTGTCTGGGTTACAGCCAAAAGTGAATGATAAGGTTGTGTTTCACTTTTCGTATAGGAAAGGGCCTAAACATGCTCCACACATGAACCAAGCACCCCTTGAATCCAGAGTTATAACTGCATTCCCATAGGCTGAACAGAGAGTAGGATCATTCTAGTCACAGTATTACAAGATTTGGTGTAACTGAGGCAACTCTGAATTTCCATACAGAAAGGACTGTATAGAAAAAACATCCCATGTAGGATGAGCTCTTAAAAGTAAATTCTCAAAAAATATCAGCACTGAAAAAGACTATAAGCTCAACAAAACGGACAATCTACATTAAAAAAAAATAGAAAAAGAAAAGCAGTCTGAAAAGAACTTTTAAATAATGATGCTTAAATTCTCAAAAAGGAAAAGGAGGATTAACATTAATAAAACAAAAGCAGGGTATGAAACGGAACAATAGCTATGAAAAACTATTTTCGATTGGAAATCTTGAAGTGGAAAAATTTGAAACAAAAAATCCACTATGTGGGCTAAAGAATCAAACTAGATAAAGCTGAAGAGGAAATTAATTAACTCAATTATCTCAACTATGGAACTAAATAAATTTCACAGAATGTAAAGAGATAAAGAGAATGAAATAAAAAGGAGTTAAGAGATGTGAGAATACATGAACATGTGCCAAGTCGCTTCAGTCATGTCCGACTCTTTGCGACCCTGTTGACTGACCCTTTGAGATGACTCTGTCCATGGGATTCTCCAGGCAAGAATACTGGAATGGGTTGCCATGCCCTCTTCCAGGGTATCTTCCCAACCAGGGATCGAACCTGCAGCTCTTATATCTCCTCCACTGGCAGGTAGGTTATCACTAGCACCAGCTGGGAAGTCCATATGAATATATACACATAAATATATATATGAGTATATATACTTAAATATATTTATATATATATGTATCAGAAAAAGAGAACAGAAGAGAGGCAATATTTGAGGAGATCATGGCTGAAAGTGTTGCAGAATTAAAAACAAAACAAAAAATAAAACCCCATAAACACCTGAGTCATATACAATATCAAAAAAGAAAAATCCAAACCCAAAGATATTGTAGCAAAACTTCAAAAGATCAGAGATAAAGAGGAAAATCTTAAAAACTTTCAGAGAGGAAAAGGCAGATTATCCAAAAAAGAGAACAATCAAAATAACAGAAATCTCTCAACAACCAGAACTGCTAAGAATAGAGAAGTATCTACAAAAAGTGTCAAGATAAAATAACTGAACCAGGAGTCCATATTTAAACCATAATTCAAGGGAGATATTTCCAAACTTACCAGAACTAAAAAAGTTAACTATCTATGAATTATTGCCAAAAGAAGTATTAAATTTCATATGTCAACATGGGGGAGGAGGGAGAAAGAATGAGATGCAAGAACAGTAGTGCAAATTGGCCAGCAAGACACATATCTTCAAAGAAACTACAACTAAAATTCTAGTAAATAATAACAAGAGAGATGCAAATTAATGGCTAAGACATGAGAGAGATCAGAAGGATGGTCTAAAAAGTACCAAAGTCTTTATCTTCTGTGGGAGGAAGTTAGCAATACTAAACATAGACTTTTAAGAAAAATTAAAAATTATAATGTATGTTAAGGATAGAGTAGCCAGTAGATGAAAAACAAGAATAAAAATACAGAGTTTTTCTAAGATTCTCTCCCCTATGATCTTCTAAGCCCATCTACTATCTTCAGAAGAGACAAAAATGTCTTAAAACTATAGACTTGACTTCACCATCTATAAAGGGAACAGTGTAAAATTTTGAAATCAGACAGCATTCAATCACTCACATTTTATAATTTTTAAAATAATATTTAATAATTTGACAATAGAATAAGGGAACAATGCTTAAAATATCTGAATAAAAATTTAGGAACCTTCTTATTATATCAAAAAGTCTACCAATGGAAACTATTAGAAGATATATCTGAAAGTAAAATAAAACTAGATAAAGCATCATACAATAAATGTCAATGATAACATTTGGCTGTGTAATTCCAGGACAGCCATGAATTAGGCAATATAATATGTACACATTCTTATATCTTCTCTAAGCTTGCTCTAAGCTTGATGGTTTTTCCTAGTCATACTTTTAAAAATCTCAACAAGTTGTTATTCAGTCTATGAACACTGTACACAGATGAAAGCTGATCATGTCTAAACCACTAGACAAAATTATATTCTAAGAGTAAACATATAAGAAAAAAACTCAATTCAAAATTAGAATGTTAAATACTTCAAAATAATAATTGTATTTGTTTCTAAGTGACATGGTTGTGGATAACATTTTATTTTCCAAACTTTTTTTTTCCCCAAAC